TCACTCAGGTTAAAATCTGAATAATCAGAAAAATGAATCGAAGAAGCGCCTATCYCAGGCAGTCGACAAAGCGCACTTTACTACATTACGCACTCCCTTTACTACATTAATAATTCATTTGTTATTTCAAGAACGTACCGGGGGTGACTCCTTAAACTTTGCTCGCAGTCTTTCCCATGTAGAGTTTTTAGCAAATGCATTACAGTGTGGCAAGTCCCCACATGTCCACAGATTGCACTAGGATAGGATCAGAGAACATTATCAGGGCCCAGTTGTTCAAAGCCCGATTAGTGCTAATCCTGGGTTAACTCTAATAAGACCTATAGAGATAATCCTGGAYTAGCGCTWATCCAGCTTTGAACAACCCGGCCCAGGATTACGGTAGTGATTGGCAGAAATCATTCATAGATCAGATGACATTGTTGTAATATTTATTACAAAATATTTGAGATATAAACGCGCACACTGATTGGTTAACCATGTTTATATCAGAGGACAGAGACACGCTCGCGCTAACTCGCTCAAAAATATTTCATAAAAGCAATATAACACGGCTACTTATGTCTCTGTACTGTGATATGAACACTCTGGGAGCTGTAGCACTCGAAAGGAAAGAGCTTGCTTCTCTCGTGCTCTACAGTTCCCAGCGTGTTTATATATATCACAGTACAGAGACACGCGCGCGCGTATTAAGGGTGGAGTGGGAACCAGGGAAGGTTTAGCAGCAGCGCACTCACCTCTCACCTACAGAATCAAGGGTTCGATTCCTGGATCGGACATGGCATCACATCTGAGTAGTATTTGTTAGGTCTCGCCCTTGATTCGAGGGTTCGATTCCTGGATCGGACATGGCTTCACATGTGAGTAGTGTTTGTTAGGTCTCGCCTTTGATTCGAGGGTTTTTCTCTGGATTTCCAGTTTTCTTCCCTCTGCAAATCCCAATTCGATGTTTGAGTCGGCTTGCAACGACGTAGCTGGATTCCAGAAGGTTGTTTCATGGTTCGATAGCATAATAATAATAATAATAATAATAATAGGTTACTAAATCTCTCTAATCTCTCTCAAGTATAACACAATGACACGTGTCATATGACATGCGCGCTAACTGCACCCTCTCTTCGCAGTCAAACATTAACTTGTGTTAATATCTTAACAACACTAAAATAATTACAGAAGTTATTCATACTTACCTTGGAAGCCAGATTGTCACAGACAAAGCAGTAACACTTTTCACAGAACAAACAATTTATCCCAAAGATTTTACGYGACATCTGCGTGTTAAGCTGAACATTTACTAGAGTAAACTTGTGGAATTTACAGTGTTCTCTTGCGTGTGGTAGGTTTAGTCCAGCCTGTGAGAACGTTACTGCGATGTCCTCATCGATGCTTTCTATGACTGGTCTCTCTGTGCACACAGACTTTGGCTCTGTTGATAAGAACAAATGAATGAATCGTTGAACGAAGCAACGAACGAATGGATGAATGGGTGAACATCAAATAAATAAACTAATTAATGAATTAAAAATATAGAGTAGATGGAATGAATGAAATGACCAATGAATAAATGAATACAAGAGAATATGAAGTAAGCTTACTTAATATTCTCTTGATGAATACCATTATAAAAATTGAATAATGAATGAACGAAACGAATGAAAGAAACAATGATTGAATGGATGGATGCACAAATGGATAGATAGATGGATGGATGGA